GACGCACAAAAAAGCCTCTTGGAGCGATGCCCTAAAATCAACAGGAAGTCGGCCATTTTGAATTTTACGTCAAATTTTGGATGATTTACACACTTCGTACTTTAACGAACTCCTCCTAGGGATTTAGTCCGACCGACTTCAATTTGTGCTGTGCCTTCTAAAGGCATTGAAGATGAAAAGTTGTGCTATTTGCGAGTTTTCGTCAATGGGGTGTCCGTGGCGTGGCGTCAGAGATCAAGTCTTCGCCATGACACAGGAAGTTGTTGTAACTTCAGTGTACATGCTCACATCTGAACCAAACTTTACGTGCTTGATAACTCTCCCACCCCGTTATGGAGGACCGATCCTGACACAGCCAGAAATAAATACAGAAATAAATAAATGCTCAATAAATAAATAAGCATCCAATTAAATACACAAAAAATAAAGTAAATAAATAAATGTAGGTAGTAATTAAATTATACAAGGAGACATAAATGTTATTTTTAATTAGTGCCTTTACTTATTCACCTTTGTTATAATTACCTTATTTGTTTATTCAACTTTATTTATTACTAATTTTTTTAATGTATTTATTTATGTGTTTTAATATTTTTGTCTGTTTTATTCTTCCTTTGTATTTATTTACCTTATTTATTTTCACCCATGGTATTTATTTCTGCCTGTCTTTTTTAAATTTTTGTATGCATTTCTGCCTCATTATGCAAATGAGGAGGGGCTGTGTCTCAAGGGGTCATCTTCTCTGCTATTGGTGGACCAGTCAGACAGGAGAGCTCCTACTCTGCCTGCAGACATCAACGATCTTGCCCCTCACACAGTCAGATGCTTCCTTCAGTGCGCTGAGGTGTTTAACAACTCTGAAGACAATACTACCAGCATGTCTTCCTTCTCTTTTCACGTAGACGCTCCGACAGACAGTGCTTTCAGTTTGCTGCATGCATGGACACAGAACTGCGGTATAGGGAGAAGCACACGGTCAGCTGGCTGCAGCTAAAACTGGAGTGCACTCGTATTCAATTCTGTATGGTAAATTCAGTTTTAACGGAGCAGAGCGAGCTGACAGGCAGAGTTAGAGACTTTTTCTGTCCGTTTCTCTCTTTACAAAGACGCATGTTGCAGTCAGAGTCTTCTCTGAGATGCCAGCACGACATACAACACAATTTATCAAATTACACAACGGATATACAGTATGAAAATAAGATTGATTGGATTATACTCACAGGAAGTATAAAACCTCTTACATGGGTCTATTAAAAGTAAAGTAACACAAAAATGTCAGGGAAATTACTTTACTTAGATTTAAGTACTGCAGTTGTACATTTGAAATACCTTCCTACCTTTCTGATAGGAAGCCTTCTTGAGGTGGTATAAAACATTTCTTCTTATATTCTGATTTGAGTTGTGGACAACTATGACCACATGAATTAAAAAAACATTTCACTGCCCAAGTCAGCTATAACACAAGTCTTGATCATCAGACTACATGCTGTACAGTATTTGTGGACAGATTTTGTCCCAGGATTTATTATGCATTTCTTCTTCTTCGTTGCATGATTTAGAATAATAAGGTGAGAAATGGGTCTGTTCTGAGTTCATCCTGCACTGCAGCAGCTAATAAAGTCCATTTAATCCCAAAAACGCTTTTCTTTTAGGCAGGCTGGAGCAGAAAACAACTCACCTTTCTCAAGTTGTACAGTAATGTCACATGTGTATGAAGGTGGATCAAACAAGCTAATCTTAAATGTCAAAGTAGAGAGGAGCCTAGTAGGCCTATTTATTTTCATTCATTACACAATATGAATAAGTTATGCAGACAGTTGTAAAGAAAGAACATCTTTTTCTTCTGTTCTCTACTTGTTATAGTTACACAGTATTAGGGGTGTGGGCTGTATTAAAAGTATCCACTGTTCTCCCATGCTAACACACAGTAACGATGAAATGTGTGCTGTTCTCACATTCTTCCTCTGTATGTACACATAAACAACAAGGCAGGGAAATATAAAGGAATTTATTTTATTGTTTGGGTACATTATTGTTCAGTGTACATGCTCACATCTGAAACAAACTTTACGTGCTTGATAACTCTCCCACCCCGCAGACATCTACACCAATACCGATTTATATTCATAGCGGCAAGTGCTATGTAGCTCCACATAGGGGACACAGGAAGTGACATATAACACCTTCATGTGGCGTCATAACCGCGTAGCAAATTCACAGCCGCACCGGCAGAGCTCCAGAATATGCAACTCGGCCGGCTCACACGCGGACGCGCTTACAAGTGCGAGGGCCCGCCCAACGCTGCTTGCAGCTTTAATTTGCTTTTATTTTATATAATTTTTTTATGTGCAAATATATCTTGGGAAGTTAAAACTTACAATAAACCTGATTCTGAGCATTTAGTTTTAGGGGATAAAGCCTGGCTGTTATAATAATTAGAGCAATGATGGCGGCCTCTGTGCTGGGGGTATTGCGCAATACCAGCAAGAATGCACCGTCTCAAACCGTCAGCAGCGTTTTGTGTGCTCGTGACATTGCAAGTTTATTCTTCCAAGAACGACTAGCAAAAACGTTCTCCCCAAGAACACAAGTCTATTTTTTGCATTCTTGGTTTTGGGAAACACTCAAGGACTAAAGACACACAGCAAACATTTAACACCAGGGACTAACGAGCAGGGCGGGAGCAACACAGGCGACCGGGATCAGGACTAACGAGGCAGAGAGACAGCAGGGGGGAACAGAAAGACAGGCAGGCAGAGACAGCAGGGGGGAACAGAGAGACAGGCAGGCAGGCAGGCAGAGACAGCAGAGGGGAACAGAGAGACAGGCAAGCAGGCAGGCAGAGACAGCAGGGGGGAACAGACAGACAGGCAGGCAGAGACAGCAGGGGGGAACAAAGAGACAGGCAGGCAGGCAGGCAGAGACAGCAGGGGGGAACAGAGAGACAGGCAGGCAGGCAGGCAGAGACAGCAGAGGGGAACAGAGAGACAGGCAAGCAGGCAGGCAGAGACAGCAGGGGGAACAGAGAGACAGGCAGGCAGGCAGAGACAGCAGGGGGGAACAGAGAGACAGGCAGGCAGAGACAGCAGGGGGGAACAGAGAGACAGGCAGGCAGAGACGGCAGGGGGAACAGAGAGACAGGCAGGCAGAGACGGCAGGGGGAACAGAGAGACAGGCAGGCAGGCAGAGACAGCAGGGGGAACAGAGCGACAGGCAGGCAGGCAGAGACAGCAGGGGGGAACAGAGAGACAGGCAGGCAGAGACGGCAGGGGGAACAGAGAGACAGGCAGGCAGAGACAGCAGGGGGGAACAGAGAGACAGGCAGGCAGGCAGGCAGAGACAGCAGGGGGGAACAGAGAGACAGGCAGGCAGGCAGGCAGAGACAGCAGGGGGAACAGAGAGACAGGCAGGCAAACAGAGACAGCAGGGGGGAACAGAGAGACAGGCAGGCAGAGACAGCACGGGGGAACAGAGAGACAGGCAGGCAGGCAGGCAGGCAGAGACAGCAGGGGGAACAGAGAGACAGGCAGGCAGGCAGAGACAGCAGGGGGAACAGAGAGACAGGCAGGCAGAGACAGCAGGGGGGAACAGAGAGACAGGCAGGCAGGCAGGCAGAGACAGCAGGGGGAACAGAGAGACAGGCAGGCAGGCAGAGACAGCAGGGGGGAACAGAGAGACAGGCAGGCAGAGACAGCACGGGGGAACAGAGAGACAGGCAGGCAGGCAGGCAGGCAGAGACAGCAGGGGGAACAGAGAGACAGGCAGGCAGGCAGAGACAGCAGGGGGAACACAGAGACAGGCAGGCAGAGACAGCAGGGGGGAACAGACAGAACTAATAACAGAACACATAGCAGACATGGGGAAAAAATAACAACCTACACAGAAGTACCAGGAATAACACTAAGACATAAAACCAGAACCCAGAGAAATCAAAACACAGAGTAAACTAGACACAAGACAACAGACAAGACAGAACCCCAAAACACAACAGACCAAAATAACAGATGTGAATGTGACAGGAAAGGCTTTTTAAAGAATGTTTGAACGGTTGAAAGTTTGTCTCCAAACAGAATATTCACACATGCTTTTCATTTATTTGTAAATTCATTGAATGTATTCACAGATAATTTTTTAATGTGGAATTTATTTGTGTATTTCAGATCTGTTTTATATTTGCAAAATATTGTTGTGGATTTAGAAATCTCTGCTTTTGTATTTGTGGAAAGTGTTTCATATTTACAGATTACACATTTACACTCGGATTGTGGATCTATTCACACAAATAATATTAAGACAATGTAATCTTCATAGGGTAACCACCTGCGTAATATCTACAGTAAATTTAATTTACTGTATTTTCTGGCCAATTCTAGTTATAACATTTTATAGAGGACAAGTTGTAATAAAAAATTAAAACAGTAATCCAGTCAGATTGACAGAATGAATGCACACAGTAAACTGTATGATAACTTATGGTAAATGGTTCAATAGTAAATCCATCCTATTTGTCCTGACTGTGACTTAATCAAAGAAATCCATGTATCTTTCTGCTGTTGACTGACACAAAGAGATGTACAAGCTGCAGCGTTGCTTTTTTCAGTAAGTGGGACATGATGTATGGGGGATGTGGAATATGCTTTGTTTAATGAGCCAAATAAATTTGCCTCTGTTGTTGCTTTTTATAGCTGCTTGAAATGCTGCTGTCTTAGCACACGAGCTTCTTTACAACCAGTGCACCAAACACTTGTGATGTCAGATTGTTGGGCTGAAAACAGGGAAGGAAAGCTGATGTTTTCTCTCGGTGTATCTCTGGAGTTCTCCCTGCTGTGCAAGAGGGAAACACGAGCACAATCTGGGCTTTTCCTTGTTTTTCATAGATGTTGACATCTTGTTTTGTGCAACATATATATTCAAAATGTGCATTTCTATATCTCTAATGTAAATGTTTTGTGTGTAGAGCTAAATATATTGTGTTTATACAAATCCATGTGTTTCAACAGCCCTCTAGGTCTTCCAAAAAAATTCACAACTTTGGGAAGAGGTCCAACTCCATCAAGAGGAATCCCAATGCCCCAGTGGTTAAAAGCAACTGGCTTTACAAACAGGTACAGGAGGAAGGCATTCAACTTAAAGATTTTAGGATGTGTTTGAGTGTTGTGGGACTAACAGTGGACAGACAGAAGACAGGTGAGGCAATGAGGCCGGGCACAAGACATGGATGAACATACAGGATGTAGAATGTAGTTTCATTATTCACTGCATTTAGAATTTTTCATCTTTGATTGTTATAACTACAGGGAGTCACCGTAGGAAAGGAAAGAAGTGGATCATTTTAGGAAATACACTTATTTGCTTTCTTTCTAAGATAAGGAAAGAGAAGTTTTGGCTACAAACTCAAGACTATAGGTTAACTACAGACCTTTAATCCGGACATGGTTAGCCTAGCTTAGCCTAAAGACTAAAGGCAGCAGGAAACAGCCAGTCTGGCTCTGTGCAAAGTTCAAAATATACCAGTGTGGGGCAAGTTACTTAGAAGTTGTAATAAATTACTAGTTAGTTATTACTCCTTAAAAAGTAATAATATTACTTTACTTATTATTGAGTGATCAATGTAACTAGTTACGTTATTCGTTACGTTCCTGTTGGAGCTGGGCATGTTAACGCATTAATTAATTAATGCCTACAATTGTTTTATCGCACATAAATGCAGTATTTTTTTTATTATTATTATTCTGAAAGTCCCTTGCTCACTGGCTCTGAATACACATCCAGTCAAACCATGGGTCACAGGAGGGGTGGAATGTTGATCAGCCTGCAAATCACCCACCCAAACAAGCAGTGGAGGGAGGCTTCGGCAGACGTGTGGGAGAAGACAGCACTCCGCGAGTAAATGGCAGGTAAAATTGTACATAACTTTACCTGATAGGCCTTCATCTAGTTTTGCGGGGATGCTCTGCCATGCGAATTCCCTCGTGTTGATGTCGTATTTAGTAAACAGTAATAGATTCTGGAAACTCACAAACGGCGAGGATCAGTCTCTTCCAATGAATTGTGTTGCGCGTTGCGTACTAAAAGTTCAAGACAATTCAACTTCGGCAGTGGGTGCGTGAGGCGAGCACTACCTACAGTTTCACGGGAACGCACCTGCTTGTCACTACACCTTTTGCTCGACCACTTAAACTTACAACTGAACATAGAAAAATGTTTCTGCTGATACCTGTTCAGAAAAAAGACAAGAACTGGACTCTGATGGGAACTTGTTTTAACAAGCTCGATAAAGGTAATGCCCTGGCAGTGGCAAATAGCTTTGCTTTTATTTTTGATTTGATTACATTAATGTTTAAGTTGAGATTTACAAGAAATATTTTATTGCTACTGTGTAAAGGGAATACTGCTGGTAAAAAGCTCCTTATTTGTTTTAAAGTGTTTGCAAACCACATGTTATTGCACTTTTGTGTATATAGCAGTACATTTAAATTAAAAGTGTGCAATACACTACTTCAGAATGTATTATTCAATTGTACTCATAACAACGCGATTAATTGTGATTAAAAAATGTTATTCTTGCCCAGCACTAGTTACTATATTACTTTCACTACCCCACCCCAAACAAAGCAGTATCTCCCAACTTTTTAATCATATTCATAAAAGCAGAAAGCAGGCTAGGCTATAGTTTTTCACAAAACATAACATTTCTTTCAATGGCTGAAATAAAAAAAATAAAGCAAGTAAATCCCGACTTCCGAACTTCTGTTCTGCACATGTATTTATAAGAGCAGTATTCAGTATTATGACAAAACATAAAAGGTTGACGCCACTCTCTCCCAACAAGTCCAACCATCCCTGGCAGTAGCTGCCGGAGTTTCTTTCTATAAGTTTCATGTTGCTGTGCTGCTTCAATAAATCGTTGTTTGTTCACGGTTATAGGCTTTTTGCTGCTCGCACAAGTTTACAACGGACGACAATGTTGTTTGCATCGTAGACTGTGACACAATGATGTGATACTTATACTTGTGGAAAGAAATCCCTCTCCCCCTCGTTCTCCATTCTTATTTAGCTTCTTGGCTAACAGCTGACTTGAACAACATAAAGTCCAGTACCACTGGCCTACTGCACAGTCGGGCATTCATGCTTTTTTGCGTTTTTTTATTATTATTATTATATATTATTTATTATTTTAGACTTATTTAGTTTTTCTACGGTACCTAATAGACAACTGCTGCTTTCCATTAATTTTACTACAATAAAATCATCTGATATAGATAGGAACCCTGCCTGCAGAATCAGAATCAGAAGGAGCTTTATTGCCGAGTAGTGTTTTACACATATGAGGAATTTGCTTTGGAGATAAGGTGCTACACGTAGACAAACATACAGTTGACATAAATAAATGTAGAAATATATAAATATGGAATAAACAATGCAAGTTATAAAAGAATAATTAAAGAATAGAGAAAAATAATACTATTTCCAGAGAAAGAACATTGTGGCAGATATTTACATGTTACTCTGGTTTGTGTTTTGCAGACGTATTGCAATGGAAGAGAATATTGTGTACACGAAAATATTAATTGACAAAATATAAAAGTATAGAACAACAACGATTAACAATTAATAACAAATATGTGCAATGTGCCAGGTTTGTGCATGATATGAAATGTAAAGTAAAAAATAAAAATAAAATAAAATTTAGATGTGCAGAGACATTTGCGTTATTTGAAAAGGGGGGGGAGTGTCAGTGGGGGACCTGGGCCTTGTTGATGAGGCTAGCTGCAGACGGGAAGAAGCTGTTTTTGTGGCGAGAGCCTCCTGCCAGAGGGGAGAGTCCAAAACAGTTTGTGTCCAGGGTGGGAGGAGTCAGCTGCAATCTTTCCTGCTCTCCTCAGAACCCTGGAGGCGTACAGGTCCTGAAGTGATGGAAGATTGCAGCCAATCACCTTCTCTGCAGAGCGAATGATACGCTGCAGCCTGCCCTTGTCCCTGGCAGTGGCAGCAGCGTACCAGATGGTGATGGAGGAGGTGAGGATGGACTCAATGATGGCGGTGTAGAAGTGCACCATCATTGTCTTTGGCAGGCTGAACTTCTTCAGCTACCGCAGGAAGTACATCCTCTGCTGGGCCTTCTTGGTGAGGGAGGTGATGTTCAGCTCCCACTTGAGGTCCTGGGAGATGATGGTGCCCAGGAAGCAGGAGTCCACAGTGGTGACTGGGGAGTCACTCAGGATGATGGGGGAGGGTGGGGCTGTGCTCTTTCTAAAATTCACAACCATCTCCACTGTCTTCTGAGCGTTGAGCTCCAGACTGTTCTTACTGCACCAGGTCACCAGATGGTCGATCCCCACCAGAGATGAGCCCAATGAGGGTGGTGTCATCTGCAAACTTCAGGAGCTTGACAGACTGGTGACTGGAGGTGCGGCTCTTGGTGTACAGGGAGAAGAGAAGGGGGGAAAGAACGCAGCCTTGAGGGGAACCGGTGCTGATGGTCCTGAAATCAAAGATCATGTTTTCCCAGCTTCACATGCTGCTTCCTGTCCGTCAGGAAGTCAGTGATCCACTTGCAGGTGGAGTCAGGCACGTTCAGCTGGGAGAACTTGTCCTGCAGCAGGGCCGGGATGATGGTGTTGAAAGCAGAGCTGAAATTCACAAACAGGATCCTGGTGTGGGTTCCTGGGGAGTCCAGATGCTGGAGGGCTGAAGCTGAGTGGAGGAGTCTCGGGGGAAGGTGTCCGATTGACTCTCAAAGCGGCAGCAGAATTGGTTCAGCTCATTTGCCAGGCGAGAGTCGTTTATGGAGTGGGGGACTTTGGGTTTATAGTTAGTGATCTGTCTGAACCCCCTCCAGACAGAAGTGGCGTCGTTTGCAGAGATCTGAGTACAGTCTTTTAGCTTCTTGCGCTGCCTTGCTAAACCTGTACTTTAACACCCTGCACCCGGCCCTTTCCCCACTTTAGCTGCGTTTCGACCAAAGGAATTTTACCCCGGAACTAGGAACCTTTGGAGGAACTCACTGCGTTTCCACCAAAGGGACCAGGGTCTAAATGTAGTTCTGGGGTCTTCATTTTACCCTACTCGGGGGATAGTACTTTCCAAAAGTACTGGGTACTTTGGGGGGGCTTGCCTTGCAGTGAATTTCTTAATGGGTGAGTAGAGGCTACTGGCTTTAACTGGAGAATGTCGGGTGATCCTCTCTTTTCCACCGTTGTTTGCAAACCAATAAATCACAATCAGCAGTCAAATAGCCACACATGTCTCCCCGCTGTCCGCCTGAGATCAATCGTCGGCATTAAATGTAAATAGCAGCCAGCCTGGGTGTGTTTACAGCGAACAGCTGATGGAGTTACTACTGGGTCCAGAGTTGTTATTTAAGTTTTCATCTGTCAGGAAGTTTCAACACAGAACTGAAGTCGGTCTCCTCCTCTTCAAAACCAGCTAAACAGCTGATTACAGCAGGTAATAAAGCTCATTAAAATCACTTTCCTCCGACGCTCAGGTGACACAGACATGAGTCCTGCAGCTGATCTGCAGCTCTTGTCACTGGAAATGTTTTAATAACCTTCCAAACTGTCACGATTTTATTTTTGCATTGTTTTATCTGTGCTGGAGTTATTTTAAGAACTTGATGGTTTTATCCAGTTTGTAATCCACACGTCTTGCGGATGTCCACCTGAGATTGTATGTCGGCATTAAATTAGCTGGGAAACAGTAGCCAGCGTTCAGCAGTGTGTTTACAGCGAGCAGCTGATGGAGTTACACTAAATACTGGGTCAGAAGTTGTTGTTTTGAGTTTTCATCAGTCAGGAAGTTTCTACAAGGAGACGAAGTCAGTCTCCTCCTCTCCAAAACAAGCGGACCAGCTGATTACAGCAGGTAATTAAAGCTCATTAAACATCTCGTTCCTCCGATGCAGGCGGACACAGACATGTGCTGCCAGCTGATCTGTATCTCGATGGCTGGAAATGTAATAACCTTCCAAACTGTCGCAATTTTATTTTTGTGCTACTTTATCTGTACTGGAGTTATTTTAAGAACTTTATGGCTTTATCCAGTTTGGTCTTTGTCTCCTCCTTTTCCAACCTTAGCTGTCTGAGTTTGGCTGTAAACCAGGGTTTGTCATTGTTATAGCTCACTCACAGGTGTGTGTTGGTATACAGCTGTCCGCACAGAAACTGATGTAAGACCTCACAGCATCAATAAACTCATTGAGACTATTGGTACCTACAGCTTCACTGGTCCATTTTTTTGATATCCTCACTACATGTTTACAGAGTTTAAATTTTTGCCCATAAACAGGAATCAGGAGTGTCCCAGTGGAGCGTGTGTGACGGCGTGATAGGCACTGCTAACTGTGGTGTAGCAGTGATCTAAAGTGTTCCTCTGTCTGGTTGGACCCTTTTATAAAACTGTTATTTGGGGAGTTCTTGTCGTTGCACGTTGGCGTGCAGTGGAATATAAACACCGACCAGAGTGAATGAAGCAAACTCACGGGGGGAGTAAAACGGTTTACAGTTAATGATCCAGATCAGGAGAACAGTGCTGCTGAATCACTGTCACGTTGGTACACCAGCCATTGTTAATATAAAAACAGACACCTCCACCTTTTGTTTTGCCGGATAGCACTGTGTCCGCTCTGTAGAGTTGGAAGCCTGCCAGCTGCAGCGCAGAGTCCGTTATCAGTTCACACTGCCAGGTCTCTGTGAAGCACAGAACAGAAGATGAATAAAAGTCTCTGTTTTTCCCCACCAGAAGCTGAAGTTCGTCCAGTTTGTTGCACAGTGAGAGAAATATTGCCGGTAGCAGTGTGTGGTGTCCCCGCCGGCGAAGACGAACGAGCGAACCAGCACGTTTCCCTCTGCTGCGGCGCTTTACACCCTGAACAATAGCAAGCGAGCTTCATCAAAATTTCCAATAATTCCACTGATAGCACGAGAAAAGTGGGAAATAAATCTGCTGTAGCTGTTCCCCTGATGTTCATGAGCTTTTCTCTGGTGAAAGAGCACCAGGAATCACAGCTGAAAACTGAATTAACACACAAGTTTTGTGAGTTGATTTAAATTCTGGACAGAAATCGACTGCAGCCAGAGGCTACCTAGAAGGTTGAGAAAACAAATTGAAAAATCTAAAAAGCCATGGCCTTGGAAATACATTGACAGTGATGTAAATTTGTATACATTTGTGGTGCATAAAACACTGACATGGGCCTTCAAATCACTGTCTTTTTAAATGAGCTGAAAAGACATCTTTTCAACTTTCACTTTCAATTAAAGCCAGTAAAATTTTGCCTGTTTCTAGTGCTCACCACTCACATCTATGATCTGTTCAGTGATACGAAAACACATTGACTTTGTTGGCAACAGTGACATCATCTTCATACATAACTAACTAGCTACCTAGCTACATCCATGAAAGGTGTGGACAGAAATGTGACCACAAAAAGGTTAATTGATTCAGAGGAAACGCTGAGTAAAGTTTACTGATCTTGTAATGTTTTCAACATCAACAATTATTTGTTGGGAAACAATGAATCCTGCTACAGTGTTTCCATTCACTCACTGCAAGTTGAGCAATTTCTTGGCCCCACAGAGATCTTCTATGGGTCAATATTTCAAGTGGTCTGTGGACCTCTGGCCACTGAAGCCTCATTGGGGACTATTCAACTCAGCGTTCAGACACCAGTCAGAGTCACTGTCTGTAACCTCCTTCTCAGCCTTGGTCCCTGTGCCACCACTTGCTTCTATTTACATTGAGACAAGAATCGATTCTCTTCACAGCACCATACCCCCTCTCTTCCCCACAGACCTGTCAGGCTAAGTGCTCCCTCCCACAAGAAATGTCATCAGTGTTTACCCAAAGCTCAAAATCTATGGCTGAATACTGCACGTTGCAAACAGTGCTAAAGACCCAAGTGAGCGAATGGTCTCGAAAACCTTGTTATTGTCGCTGCAGTCATTATGGCGCCACGGAGGGTGGAAAAACGAACCAGAACTGCAGCGTAGAGAACAAAGCACAGGCCTTCGCCCCGAGCTCCACAGAGGCAAATTTGTCACTACGTTATGAAGAGATAAAACAGAGCAATTTGTCTCAGAGGAGGAGATAGAAGCTGGTTAATAGAAGCAGCCAGAGGGAGAGACAGTGAGGGTGTCAAAGGAAGGGAAGTGAGGGGAGATCAAAAGAGAAGAAATGTGTGTGTGTGTGTGTGTGTGTAAGAGAGAGAGGGTATATCGTTCCCTGTAATAACTACAGTTTGAATGACTGATTGATGTGTTGTGACCTTTGACCCCTGCAGGACAGCACAGGCATGAAGCTGTGGAAGAAGAGGTGGTTTGTTCTGTCCGACATGTGCCTCTTCTACTACCGTGGTGAGGACACACACACACCCACACATATCCAAATCTGGGATGCAAGCAGTTTCATTAAATATGTTTGTCAAATCAAAAGCAATTCACAGTGAGAGCAGGTGCAGTCCAGGTTTTGTTTAAGGACAATTCAAGAAAACACATTCACTATTTCAAGGACCCTCCCATGTTACACCTGTTATAAGAAACATTATATATATATATAAATGGTAGCTGTGCTTTAATCTTGAGAAGCTGCAGAGCTGCGGTCTGCATTCATTCAACTTACACTGTAAATTTCCAGCTAAACTGAGGCTTTTTGAAGAGCTTTCTCTCTCTCTCTCTCTCTCGCCTGTCATTCACCGGTCTTGTGCAGAGTTTTGTGTGTATTTCATGCTGCCGACAACTGCTTGCACCTTGCGGTTCCTCGGGGGTCTATTTCAAGGTTAAAAAACCTAAAATATTCTTTGTGTGGTTCATCAACATTGATAAATTATCAGAAAGTCCCGCGAGGTGCGGACAACTCGGCACAACACCAGTGAAGCTGGGGGTCGGTCTCTTCAGCAAGTGTTCCTCTTCCGCCACCACACACACGCCACGCCTACACATGTGCACTGATGACCCAGGGTTAGGGTTACAATTTTGGATTTATTCACGCACTTTAAAAACATTTATGGAAAGTTTTATTCTTTTTATATGTTTATTTACAGCATGAAACTTTGAAATGTATATTGTAATAGGTTGTATATTAACTTATCGGGAGAAGTGGTAGTTCTATGTAAAATCAGAAGTTGAGCACCCCCATATCGCCAAAATGGCATGATCCTTGATTTGCTGCGAAGTTTCAACTGTGAGATTGACAGTCGAATCAGGCTCCGCCCATCAAAGCATTGAATCTTCAACTACAGGTGATGGTCATATAATTAGAATATCATCAAAAAGTTGATTATTTCAGTAATTCCATTCAAAAAGTGAAACCTGTGTAATGTATACATTCATTCCACAGACTGATATATTTCAAGTGTTCATCCCTTTTAATTTTGATGATTATAACTGACAACTGACACCTGGTGCCACACTCTAATCAGCTAATTAACTCAACCCATTCAAAAATGTGGGGGAGATTCACAAAGAGTGGACTGCAGCTGGAGTCAGTGCTTCAAGAACCACCACGCACAGACGTATGCAAGACATGGGTTTCAGCTGTCACATTCCTTGTGTCAAGCCACTTTTGAACAAGACACAGCGTCAGAAGCGTCTCGCCTGGGCTAAAGACAAAAAGGACTGGACTGCTGCTGAGTGGTCCAAAGTTATGTTCTCTGATGAAAGTAAAATTTGCATTTCCTTTGGAAATCAAGGTCCCAGAGTCTGGAGGAAGAGAGGAGAGGCACAGAATCCATGTTGCTTGAAGTCCAGTGTAAAGTTTCCACAGTCAGTGATGGTTTGGGGTGCCATGTCATCTGCTGGTGTTGGTCCGCTGTGTTTTCTGAGGTCCAAGGTCAACGCAGCCGTCTACCAGGAAGTTTTAGAGCCCTTCATGCTTCCTGCTGCTGACCAACTTTATGAGATGCAGATTTCATTTTCCAACAGGACTTGGCTCCTGCACACAGTGCCAAAGCTGCCAGTACCTGGTTTAAGGACCATGGTATCCCTGTTCTTAATTGGCCAGCAAACTGGCCTGACCTTAACCCTATAGAAATCTATGGGGTATTGTGAAGAGGAAGATGCGATACGCCAGACCCAACAACACAGAAGAGCTGAAGGCCACTATCAGAGCAACCTGGGCTCTCATAACACCTGAGCAGTGCCACAGACTGATGGACTCCATGCCATGCCGCATTGCTGCAGTAATTCAGGCAAAAGGAGCCCCAACTAAGTATTGAGTGCTGTACATGCTCATACTTTTCATGTTCATACTTTTCAGTTGGCCAACATTTCTAAAAATCCTTTTTTTGTATTGGTCTTAAGTAATATTCTAATTTTCGGAGATACTGAATTTGGGATTTTCATTAGTTGTCAGTTTTAATCATCACAATTAAATGAAGTAAACATTTGAAATATATCAGTCTGTGTGTAATAAATGAATATAATATCCAAGTTTCACTTTTTGAATGGAATTACTGAAATAAATCAACTTTTTGATGATATTCTAATTATATGACCAGCACCTGTATTTGGGGTCAGCCCTAGTAAGTTTTATTCATCCATCCATTCATCCATCTAGTGGTGAGGGTTGCGAATTGCAACAAACTGCTCATCCCCCCCTCCCCCAGTGAAGTTTACAAAGGCACTTTCAGGTGAGGATCAAGGCTCCTCTCCACTTTGTTTAATTAGATAAGCAATCTGCAAATCTTACCAAAATGTATTTTTTATTGTTATGTTAATTATCAAATTACACCTTTGTGTGCACAGTAGCAAAGCAATAGCCTACAAACAAATATGTTTTGTTTGTTTTTTGCAAATTCTGAAAGTAAGTATTTTTGGTCACTTGATAGGCACACAGTCTTATTATTGAAATGTTGTTAGCAGTAAAAATAAATGAGTTTTTTCCACCAGGGCAGTAAAATGTGAAGTTTAGCTGGATGGTCTGCTACCGTTTTATTGCCATTAATATTCATCAGCTGTTTGTCTTGTGAACGTAACCAGCACATTTCTGTCCACTTAGCAAAGCCAAAACACAGCATTGGAGAATGACATTACATGAAATTACAATCCAACTACATATTTTACACCACTGACAAGAGAAACACTTCTCTCTGTGATTATGCCCATCTTAGCTAAAGATATCAAATAATTTTCATTTGGACTAACTTAATTACCTGTCCAGCAGAAAACAGGCAACCTTAGCACCGCTTTGAAAACATCTGTCCCACATCAGAGCCTTCCATCTGGGAAAATCCACAACGATTATGTCCTTGATTTCTGCCGTCATTGGTCCCCAATTCATCTAGCTTCATCATGAAGATTCACGCTCCGTCTGCTCATGCTAAATAATAGGTGTGCTCCTCCATTTGTACAAATTTCACGTCTGTTCTTTCTTCTAATAAACCAGATGACTACTCAGAGACTGTTTATTTTTATAACTTCTTCTTCATACGCATTCAACGTAGTGACGAGCATCTACACTGCCGGAATTATACATGAAGAAGAAGAACAACTTAGTGATGAAACACGCTCTGTGCTAGTCTGTTTTGGGCTACTATAGAAACATGGCGACCTTTATACAGCACTGAAAACATAGTTATGGATCTTATATTGCATTTCTGTCAATAGAGCATCAGAAATATTACACACTGAACCTTTAAAGGATAACTGCTCAGAAAACATAACTGTCAGCTAATTAACGACAAACACGGAACATGAAGCAGATATGTATCATTAGTTCAGCAGGTAAGTTGTGGTTTATGAGAAATAGACACACAGCAAGATAAAGGCAAAGGAACTGGTATTAGACTGTTACATGGTATCCACAGAGACCCTGAGTTTAAGTTTAGTTTAGAGGTAGGCAGCGTGACCCTGGGCTACAAAGCATTGTTCAAACCAGAAAATTTTCTGCTCAGAATCCCAGGTTTTAAAGATTCCAAATATGCCACCACGAGTTAAAAGACAATTATGCACAGTTTTAGGGCTGAATTACAAAAAATATATATGTTTTGTCATAAGTGGTATCTAGCCATGCTTTGAGTTTGAAAGATCTCCATTAGCCGTTTCTGCCTCCCACTCAATACAATGGAAGTGAATGGAATTTTGTTAGTGGTGCTCACATCATTGAAAAGTACAGTTTACATTTCGCTGAGCTCATGTAACTTCAGCGAGGTGGTGTGACAAGCAGATAACAGATGAGACACTATCACAATGTTTTAATGTTGTTTTTATTACTTAATCAATCGCAGTGGGTAAAGTCAAGGTTCAGGAGGTCAGGTGTTCTTGCCTGTTAAAAGTGTTTGTTCTTGCTTTCACTCACAGCTGCGACGCTCGCACTGCAGCACCTCTAATTTAGAACTTTACATTCTATAGCTCATCTGTTCCTTCTTCGTGTCTCCTAAACCCTTGAGAGAGATTTTTCCATCTCCAAATTGACAAATTAGCCACTCTCAGAGCGCAATCAGCAGCCGCTTTCATGACAAACCCAGGGGAAAATTGGATGTTTAGTGGCTTAGCCAGCCAAAGACGAGAGAGGGGAGGTGTTCTTGGGAAGGACAATGACGTGCTCAGCTTTCCGATAATCTCTTCATTTTTTATTATTTTTTTCTTCTGCTTGCTCTATCACTTTATTTTAAGCACCATCTGTCATTCAGGTTGGGAGGTGTTTGCAGAGCTTGGAGTTGTACAAACTACTTGTTGTATGAGCAAAGGCGATAAGCATCCCTGTTACTGTAAATCTCAGCAAGATTAATTCAGTGTGTTTACAAGCACTCTAATAATTCCATTATTACCAGAGTGAGGCGATGCACTGATGATTACAGCTGTCATGTTAACACATGAAGCGTGTGTAGTTAACATACAGTGTAACAACATGTAGTGCTGTACTACTTCAAAAGTAGAGCTGGAAGTTATGAAATGGATTATTTAATGGATTTGCTTTACACCATCCCCCACCATCCCCGACCATTATCTTGAAATAACTGTAACAACATATGGTTCTAATGTCTTGTGTGCCCACAGGTGAAAAATATCAATCTGCTCCAGAGATGCCCAAAAGTACAATAAGTATAGAATCTGGTTGTAACAGAATTATCATTCGATCAAATTTTTATCTTTATTAAAGAATTTGCTGTTACAGTATGTGTGTACGTAGACTCATCTAAACAAACATCCCGAAACATTAGTGAACCTGCTGTACAACATGTCGATCGCTCTGAAAAAGTCTTCTTAAAAGAAAACACCCACTCACTGCAGTGTATACCTCCAGCATATCTCTGCATGCCAGCTTACTTATTCCTTCTTTTTCTTACTCTGTGTATGTGTGTGTGTGTTCTGTATCTCAATAATTCAGCGGCAGGGATCGGAGCGGAGGAGCTGCAGGGCTCACTGTGCAGGCTCAGCTAAAGCAAACAGCAGCACCGGCTGCAGGCACTGTAGGTTTTTGCTGCAGCTGGTGCAGCAGACACTGTGCTGCCTGTAGTTTGTAGCCTGTAAGCTTCCATCAAAACAAAGTTGTTCTATACAGAGCACAGAGAGGCAGTAGAAGGATGCCGTAATCTGTTCAGATTGTTGTTTCAAAGGTTTTTTGGATGTGACACCAGTAAATATTTGCTTCAATAGAGGAGTCAACTGTAATGCACTCATTGCTGCATTTCACATATTTTGTGCTTTGCAGCTGGTTTTCACAGTGAAATGTGAAAGCAGCCCGAGAGTCTGTCCTTAGCTGTATGTGTGTACGCAGTTCCACACTGTGCACCACACACAGGGAGGGAAACAAGATCATAGTTTATACAGAAAGCAGGTCAAGCTGGTATGAACGTCCAATCACATCATTCTCTCTCTGTCTCTGTGGTCTGATAAGACTGATCAATTTTCAATTCAATTCAATTCAAATTAGCTTTATTGGCATGAATGTGTAACAACAATATTGCCAAAGCATCATACATACAACATAGGAACACTTACATCCATACATTTCATTAAACAAGTAATTAAAGTGTATGTGTGTTTGTGTTAAAAAAATAAAAATATATAAAAATAAAATACAATAAACAAAACAGTAAGCATGCGTGTGTGTGTTAAAAAAATAAAATAAAATAAAACAGTAAGCGTGTGTGTTTTTGTTAAAAAATAAAATATATTAAAATTAAAATAAATAAATAAAACAGTAAGCGTGTGTGTGCGTGTGTGTGTTAAAAACTAAAAATATATTAAAAATAAAATAAATAAATAAAACAGTAAGTGTATGTGTGTGTGTGTGTGTGTGTGTTAAAAAAATAAAATGAAACAGTAAGCGTGTGTGTGTTTGTGTTAAAAAATAAAATATATTAAAATTAAAATAAATAAATAAAACAGTAAGCGTGTGTGTGCGTGTGTGTGTTAAAAAATAAAGATATATAAAAATAAATAAATAAATAAAACAGTAACGTGTGTGTGTTACCATCATCATCTGTCATTCATCACACTGTAGACCAGATAAAGGTAGACCTCCTTCTTGTAACAGTTAAAGCCAAACAAACAAACAAACGTAAAAATATCAGGCCTAGCAAACCTGAAGATTTAGTGTTATGTGTTACCAATTAAATTCCTTATTTGATCTACAGATAATTTGTTACTGAACCTGAGCCTGATAGATCCAGACTCCACTTAGTTTAGTGTAGGTCGATTGGAATGCAAGTGTTCCACTCTAATACGTCAACATATTTCTATTCTTCTGATTTCTTTGGTGAAGATGAGAAAGAGGATAGCATCCTGGGAAGTATCCTGCTTCCCAGCTTCCACATCTCCATGTTGTCGGTGGATGACCACATCAGCAGGAAATACGCCTTCAAGGTAAAACACAAGTGTCGTGACAAAAAGGTTTGGGGACGGTATGCACATTCACTGCACCAAAAGAAATAGCCCCTTCATGTTGAGGAAAAGTAATGCAGCTTGTTAATCAGTGAGCTTTAGAGGTATTGGTAGGTGTGTCATGCTAACTGATTCCTCTACTTCCAGGCTTTATGCCTGCAGGCAAAAGCAGAGAACCACATCATGACATATAGGAAGTTAGCTGGGCACCTCAGTGTCATTCTTCACACGCACACTCACTCATACTGTACATAAACACGCTCCTCTGCCAGGAATGATGTAAAGACTCTGCTGGTTTCTCATGGTCACCATCCAGCACTGTTTTTCACACTGCTGTTGTGTCTCCTCTCTCTGGCCCTCTCTCTCTCTGTCTCCTCCTCCTCCTACTGTTTATCTCTCTCTCACTGTCATTATTACCCCCCCTCCGTACTCTGCTAGGCCACTCACCCCAACATGCGGACCTATTATTTCTGCACTGACACAGCCAAAGAGATGGAGTCCTGGATGAAAGTTATGACGGATGCTGCCCTCGTTCACACTGAACCTGTCAGAAGGTCAGTACTCACTACAGGGAGGTGCCCACACACAAATGAAATATGAGACACACAATCACCATGGTGCAACCAAATATTTAGATTCTCCAGATTAGAGTGCTCTAATATTCATGTCCTGTGTCCTGTGCTCTAATGTCATGTCCTTGCCTTGTTAAGAGTTCCCTCTTATTCACTCCTCAACTAAGAGACACAGTATACAGGGTAATATTGTGTTCCATGAAGGAGCTCATCATATTCACAGTTCATTTATTACACTGAGTGACAGGACCATAATTTAAAAGGGAAAGCATTTTGTGACATATGTTGGATTGAATAAACTGGCAGCAGACTGCAGGGACACAGTCCTCCTCCCAGTAGCATTTTTTTTTATACAAAGGTATAAAAAGAGATTAAAAAATGGCAGTTTTCCTTCTTTAATCACTGATTTAATGCAGCTTGATTTACATTTTTGTGTTAAGGGGTTACGCCCATGGTTTGAATTACGGGGGGGATCGGGGAGGTCTGACCCCCCCCTAGTTAAGGCTTGGACCCCCCTAAAAGAGGCAAAAACAACAGTTCAGGGGGGTCTTTCATACCTGTATTTGTAAATATTACAATATATTTCCCATACTCATGCCTTATATTCAAGAATCTTAAAATACGATTTCAGACACCCCTAAAATAGACCGTACCATTTCCAAACTTTGACGTTAGTTGAACATCTGTCTACCCACATCACTCGCACCTGCAGCTGCTCCTGTCCAGTCAACCACACGCTGGTGGTTACACTGTAGGTTAATGTCAGTAGTTTGCTATCTAGCTGCTTTAAGACACTTTCCTACCTTCAGAGTTTCATAATTAGCATTTCTTTTACTTAAAATTAGCCATCTAATGTTAGCTAGCTGAGAGCCCATCTAATATTTTATCTAATTGTCAGCTCACACTGGCGCTCAGGCATGAGCAGTGAAATTGATTAGTTATTGTAGAGAAACATTTTGACTTCAATATAGAGTTTATTATTTCATTTGAAATCTTTTGTGAGTCTTTTTAAAATAAGCAGCCATATGTTTTCACTCTGGAATTCAGAAGTTTTACCTGCCCCGGTAAATGTTCAAATCCAGGTTTGTTATTTCAAATTTATTCAGTTTCAGTTTTTTATGTAACGCCAATTCAAAAGTCATCTCATTGCACTTTTTATACAGAGCAGGGAAGAGATCCAACAATCCCCAAAACCCCAATAATGTCTGACTACTGCTTTATTGAACATTATATTACATTGTATTCACAGTCAACATGAGCAAGAGGAAAGAAGATATTTGCAAAAATAGATTAAGTTGAAACTTTAAAGTTAAAATGATAAGAATTAGGAATTAGAGATGATAATGCAGCCTAAGTTTTATGGTTGTGTCTTTGGTTCTGGTTCAGCATTGTGTGGGTCTGTGTTTCAGCGTTTTGGTGGTCTGCTGTTGTGTGGTATGAGGCACCCATCAACTGGTGGAATGAATTTGACTTATCATCTACAGTGAACTGGCTAAAACCTTCACTGAGAATGAACGAGTTAGCAGTTAGAGTTAGTATGCGGTATTCAAAAACATTGCAGTCTCTCTTTTTGCTTTAAGGTGTGTGTGTTTATGTTGCTTATACATCCAAGTGTTGTCTGCCTTGGTGATGCTTTATTCTGCTATGGACAATAGAAAGCTATTTGATTTATGCATGTTGCACATGTTGCAGTATTCATAGCCCTTTGTATTTATTGTAAGTCATTTTTGTTTCATTCTCTCACTGTTGTACTCCTTTTCTGGGTTTTGTGTCTATGTGACTAATTAGAACAATATTTTTTGAAATTGTTCCAGTATTGAGCGAGCAGCAGTGACACAGGACTGCAACGGTCAGAGTCTGTCTACTAAAAAGCTGACAGGCTCAAATTTTTATTAAGTGTCAAGTGACAACATGATGCAAAGTATCCCTACAGACTTTTTTTAAAAGAAAAATCCTTTTTGTTTAACCAGAAACAGTCAACGTCACCAGACTCCTTTGACAAAAAATAAAAAGCTAACAGGTAGGTGGTGCCAGACCAGCCACTCCTATCTTTTGGGAGGTACTACTGTATAATGAGGCAATTGCCCGCAAGGATTACATTGCAGTCATGTTTCACTTCTGCTGACTTGCTCAATACCGGACCAATTTCAAAAAGGGTTGTCCAAATTAGTCACATACACACAAAAACATGGGAAAACAGGGTCTAGGTTTAAAATAACAAAGTTACCCTTTGGGGCTACAGTTTTGGTGGTAGAAAAGAAAAGGTTTGACCTCCAAATAAAGGGGTTTAGATCGTCTAGTAAAGATGTTTGCTTGTTTACTTGTCTGATCTAACTGATCATCTGACTGCCCATGTTTTTTGTCATAGGGATGTTGCGATGAAGCGTCAGAAGATTGCTAAATTAAAAACGTTTGAAAGTTAGAAAAAACTGCTTATTCTCCATCCTACACAATAGTATCCCATATACAGTAGATTGTGTACAGTGTGTGCTTGATCTAATGTTTTCAGTGAGCATCACACTGAGGGAAATATTTTCAGCTTTAAAGTATTGGATGTAAATATGAAGTTAGCTGCAACCCTAACGACCATAATTATTCCTTGTTAACACAGTACCCAGTTGGCCAGGACTCCCTGCACTGTCAGGGATTTCTGACAGAGATCAGAAAAGTCTAAGAAGTGGAAGGCCAGAAAGGAATGATGACCGAGATAGAATGTCTGTCAGACAAACATAGGACTTCTGACACTTAAGTCATCTTTCAAATCTCATAGAAAACTCTTTCCTTTATTCTTTGTCACATTCCTGTCTTTCTTTCATCCCAGACTGGACAAGTTGAAAGTGGACCAACGGACACCTCAGGAGTTGAACAACTTACTGAACCACAGAGTCCTGACCCGGCCCGAGATCCAGAACAATGAACGCAACCGTGAGCCAGTGCGACAACACTCCCTATCTCGGGCTGACGACAAACGACAAAAAGACGTAGAGACGCACAATGGCCAGAGGGAGCGTGAGTACTACACCTTACAGAGAGACGGGGAGAGGTTCTCCTTGAAGAAAGACGGCGTCAGCTACATGCTTCAGAAGGACGGAGAGAGGTATCTCCTCCACAAGGATGGAGAGAAGTACCTGTTGCGAAAAGATGGGGAGAAATCCTTGCTGCAGAAAGACGGAGAGGTGTGCACCATTCACAGGGATCTGAAGAAGTACGCTGTGCAGAAAGTAGACGAAAAGTATACAGTGACGCCAGCAGAAGACAAATACGCTCCATCTAACAATGGAGAGAAGTACCTGCTCGCGAAGGATGGAGAAAAATATGCACTGCAGAAAGTAGGAGACAGGCACACACTCCAGAAAGATGGACAGAAATATGTGCCTCAAAAGGCAGTGAAGAGACAGCTGTCGTTAAAGGAGACAGAGAGGTACGGCACAATGAGGGAGACGGAGAATAAATATGGTACCATACAAGTTGTGGACAAATTCGGCACTCTGAAGGAAGTGAAGAAATACAGTACGCTACGAGAAGGGGATAAATATGCTGTTCTAAAAGACACAGAGAAATATGCTACGGTCCGTGGTGGGGATAAATATGGCTTCCAGGCAGACCCACGTGCAGAAAGGTCTCTGACTAAAATCAGCAGCATTAAGCTGCAGCCGGCTCAGGCTGCCGCCATCGCAGCCGCAGTGTCTGCCTCTCGCCAGGGCCAGGCCAACCTCAGTGTCCAAAAGCCTGTTCAGGTCAACAGCTCGGGGTCCGTGGCAGGGGAGCAGACAGGGGACTGCGGCCTGGCAGAGGTGGACAGCAGCCTGGGTGGGGGTCAAGGAAAGTCCCCTGTTCCAGGCCAGGAGCCAGAGAGGGGCCTGTCCAGGACCAACTCCATGCAGCAGCTGGAGCACTGGGTCCGCACACACAGAACGAGAGGACTGGACGATGACACCAGGAGGTGAGCCTGTTCTGTTCTTTTTCGGAGTCGTTTGGGGTTTTGCAGCATCCAAATGAGGGCTTCTGTACATAATGAGGACTTTTTGTCCAGTCATCTCTTCTATAAGAGGAGAAGTCTGTGAGTGAGTCGGTTGAATGTTGGAGTTTGTCCATTGGCTTATGCTCTTTAAAAAACAAATAGGCGCAAAGGAAATAGAACACTAGTGTATGAGTTTAGAGGATAAGGCTATCACTAGTGATTTAAACCTTTTTTGCCACTGTGGGGCAGCAGAACAGTTGCTGATTTACACACTTATCATTTAGACAGCAACATTAGCATTCACTTGGAGTGGTGTTTGTGTCCACTCTCTTTTTTCTGCTAAATGCTTCACTATATTCACCAGCCGGTCTCTATCTGTGTGCTGGGGTGTACAGTGGACTTTTAGAGCTCCTGCTGCAGCTGAAAACCATGCTGTGAAACTGAACCAAAATAATAAAGTTGTGGGTCAGACAGATATACAGAACTTAGTATGAAGCCAAGGGGAGCTGCAGATTCAGCTGATATTTCTCTGTAGGTTCCTCACTACCAGAAACACCTTTCACATTGTTTTCACATTGTCATTCAGTACATTATTATAAGGTACATCCACTTTAAGAATTGTTATTTAAGTCACAGCTGTACAGCTGTATGTAGTTTAGCATGACTTTATTTTTTTAAATCTTGTACATATGTAAATTGCTGCTTGATGATGTCATCAATATACAAATCAACACCTCACACAGTCTACCAACTTTTCGAGCAGGCTTCTGCTTCCCATGAAAACAGTTGCCCTGAACACAACACAATTGCTGACCAAGATGCATGAGAACATCAGAAATCAGGATTTAGAACTTAATAACAGACTAAATAACAGTACAGGATGAATATTTTCCCAGTTATGGTAATGTATATTGGGTGACCTGTCCTACTTTTTTTTGCTGATTTAATATCAGGGATCTTCACACCCCAAATTCAAATGTGTAACTCTGTGTGCAACTGATTAAGATCAGTATGTGCACACTTAACTCATGATTTATGAAATTGCATTATTGCAAAACATTAATTGCTGGACCAGTTAATCATGTCTTAATGCTAACATTGCTGTTGCATTCTTTTAATGTATGTTTTATTGCTCCATTTTATTATTTTATACAATCCTTTTATGGCGTATTTATTTATTTATAGAAGCTGCTAAGTTCTATGGTTTGCATCTTGTTGTATTTTATGTGCAATGACAATAAAGTCTCTATCTATATCTATCTATCTAACCTCGTAATACCAATAGACCATTATGTTGAACTTGTCTAAGACATGTAACAGACAATTCCAGTGCTACTGTTGTTGTGTACAGTTAGAATTTGTTCATGTACAGTTGAGATATATCAACAAGACACAATGAGAACCATGGCTTCTTAATATATTTTAAGGCCACGGCACAAATTTCATCCTGACAGGTCTGCTCCCCCATAAGATTTCAAACGTTGTTTCATCTGCACCATTCCATCCATCGCTCCCCAAGTATCTTCCTCCGTCCTTGCCATGGCCTTATGGGCCATAGGCTGCTGAAAGCTTTTTGTGCCACCACAGATGTGTATCTCAGTTGGGAGCGATGGATCTTAGCTGTCTGTACCGAGGAACGCAGTGGAACAGAAGTGCAGAGCGCCAAATCTCGGTTTTCTCTCAGAGCTTCCCCTCTCCTCCTGCTGCCATGAATAAGTCATGGAAATAAGACTATAATGAGAGAAGAACCAGCGCAGTGCCACATTTGTCATCTTTATCAGCACTCTGTGGAGAAAGAGACAAACATTGTTATAGAACTAATTTGTTGGTACTGAGTCCTGCTTGTGTAAACGTAAAGGCCCATTTATACTCCTTGCGTAGGGTCTACGTACGTACCTACGCCGTAGGGTACAACTACAACTTAGGTTACTGTCTGACAACAATTTAACAATAAGGGTGAATTCTCCCAAAACACATGTTTGAAGTCACTCATGTACAAATTGTTGTAGAAAACTATATGGTAACACTTAAAGGTTCAGTGTGTAATATTTCTGAGGATCTTTTGACAGAAATGCAATATAAGATCCATAACTATGTTTTCAGTGGTGTAAAGACCTTATATAATAAACCATTATGATTTATTACCTTCGAATGAGACATTTCTATCTACATAACCTGGGTGTTTCTACTGTAGCTGAAAATGGACAAACAGTGCTACAGATGACGTTTCGCCACTAAGTTCTTCTTGTTCTACTTCTGGTAAAATTCTGACAGTGCAGACACTCATCACCAAGTTGAATATATACATTCAAAGAAAAAGAAGTAGTAATAATATACTTCAGGAGTCGGCAAATAAATTTTGCATTGGAGCAATATTTTCAACCATTAGATGGTGGATGCGAATATAAGACATAATACTGAATGTTATTGACATATTGTTCAGATAACTCAGTTGGTAAGGTGCCGTATGTGCCTGTACCATAAACTGTATAAAAAAGGCTGCAGCACCAAGTCCATGTTGATTTTAACAGATTCTTACCTTCAGCTGCGGTCTCAGGCCTGTTTGTCACTGTTACAAATTTATCACCACAAGCTTGGCTTTCTGTTGGTTTCCTCTTCTGGTATTGTTTAACACTTCTGTACATTTTTATTTGCTATTCACATCACTTGTCAGTTGTCACTGATCCATCGCTGCGTTCCATCACATCAATTAAATGCTTTTGTGGCGCAGCAGCGATCAGCTGATTTTACTCACGGAGCCTCCGGCTGCAGCTGCTTCAGGCGTAGTTGGTTTGATCGGCTGGACGGGCAGCCTCTCTTTTCCTCTGTTTGTGATCTTTAGTGTATTAAATGACTTGTTTAAACAGACTCCTTACTCGTTTTATACTTGTGACTGTCATTTTTGGAGGAGGCTTGCGACTCACCAATAAAAGGAAAAAACACTCGCCGAGATCTTTCAATTCAGTTTATTGAACGAAAGTTATCATAATAATTTTACGTTGTTTACTTTCAACACACATATCAAAAAAATACCTTAGATTCGTTTCCCACAAGTAATTTGGTCACTAAACTAATTCACTCCTCCTCTCTGATTCACATATAAAAACATTCACAAGCTGTGAATGTAACAACAATAAAAATAATAATAGGCTACCAATCAACTACTATGACTTCAACAGGTGACATTTTATGCAAGGTATCGAATGAAGTACTCTATTGGTATTGGTATTACTGGTTACCACAAGGGTACTGGTTTTGGTACTGGTATTGTTAAATTTTAAACAATACCCAACCCTAATAATAGCTTACATTGTATGTTCAGTATAAATGTTTATTTAATGTTTACAGCACTACCTCCATCAGTATAACACTGTCATACTCACCACTCTTTTTAACACAAATCCTAGTTTCATTCACTTAATAAGAATATTTCCAACTTTGTTTTTACCACTAAGTTATTGTCAATGAAAAGGCAGAATTTTCACAATGGAAGGTGTGGGATCATACCTCAGGGAAACTTTTAACTTGTGTTGAGTTGTATTTACAGTACTACAGTACCAGAAAATGTAAAGTAGTAGTAGTAGTAGTAGTGAATGAACAGTATTTCTGTTAAAAGAGAAACTCAGAGCAGCACAGTGGTAACTAGGGTTGCCAATTTATAAAATACACGTTTTACATTAAAGTATGAATGTAAATATATTCATTAATTTCCTCAAGTAGCATGCTTAATCAAGCTTTATCCCACATGGTAAATACTAGCTAGCAAAAGCTAGCAGAAGGTGTTACCACATTTTAAACTGTGTACATTGCTTTAGGCTGCTCTCCTGGTTAAATGAAACATCATAAAAGAATCAAATATAACTGAACTGAAACGCGTGCTAGTACTACAGGATGTTTCATTGGGCTAACATACTGCTGCCTACCTCTATCTGTATCTGAACTTACATCTCTAAATTGCTGCACTCTCATTTGTGAGGTGTCCAGCCCTGTCTTTCTACATCAGTACATGAATAATAATAATAATGAACCGTTAGGTATTTATTACCTTAGCATGAGCCATTTCTATCATATATACACGGGGTCCTCATACATGGACGTCGCATGTCGCTACAGTAACACAAACGGACAAACTGCTGCGTTTCGTCACCACGTTGAATACGTGTGAAGGAGGAGGAGAAGGAGAAGAAAGTTACTAAGTAAAATCAGTAGTTGTAGGGTTGGGCGATGTCTACAAAGAAACATCTAGATAGACGATGACATAGTGTGGGGTGCGCAATGAAAACAAGAAACAGTCACACACACTAAATATGCAACACAGCACAGCCACGAGAGCTGGGATAATAATTAATTTAAATAGGTAACTGAAAGAAAAGCATCAGGAATAATTCTACCAGGGACAACCTAAGTTTGTTTGTGTCTCTGTGTGTCTGTGTGCGTGTGGGTGAATGTGTCTGTATGTGTGTGTACATGTGTGTGCGCATAAGCCTGTTAAAGAATGTAGTTGTTAGTGAGAGTGGGGCGCCACGACTGTAACAGGCAGGCAAGAACCCCAGTAGCCAATAGGGGTGGGAGAAAGAAAAAGAATAAATCAAATAAAAAAAAAAAAAAGACTCCCAGATGCACCACGATGCAAACGCAGAAGACCCCGACCCAAATGCCAGTTGACAACGTAATGCCGACGGAACACAAAAAGCGCGGAAGAGCAGCGCCCGGACCGACCGCGGCGCATAGACCATAGACCAGTGCTCCCCCCCCACCCAGCACCCCACCGCCGCGCAGCAAACAACCAAAATGCCCAAATGCCACACAATCATCAACACCAATGCACAAGTGACGAGCCCAACGCGCACACTGCGCGAGCACGGCGACACCCAATGCCCAGCAGCCCCCCGCGAATCCCGCGTGCGAGGTCGGGCAAACGAAAGAGAGCAAACGGAACAACACGACAGCGAAAGCCAGCAGAGAGAAACACCAGCAGCAAG